GTCTTTTGCTATCTCGCACTCTGCCACAGGAGTCACTGTAGTGGTCTCCACGAGTTCCGCAAAAGATACAACGCATGCGGGCTTCAGTCGTATGACCGCGTCGCATTCCTTTTGAGTACTGCCTTGGTCGGCATGGCTGCTTCTTTTGTAGTGATTGGATCCGAATTCTGAGGACGTGGATCCTAGCTTCCAAGATTCTACGAGCGACATCCATTTCTTCTCGATTTCCTTCGTCGATACCGTCCATGTCCATAGGCAGTTCGTCTTGAAACGGTTGCTCTCTGTCATCAATTCGACGAGGGTGTTCGTCGATCTCCGCGGCCGGCGATGATGTTGCTCGACGTTGTGCTAGTGAAAGGCTTTCAATCTTTTCAGCGAGTTCCTGGATCGAGTTCTGCACTGCATTGATGGAGGCCGCTAGCTTCTGCTGAGATGATTCTTGGAAGTCTTGCTGCTGTTTGAGAATTTCAGAGCGTAACGAGCGCAAAGTGGCGAGGAATTCGTTGATCGATGTTGACTGGTCGATGAAGATGTTTTCCACTACGTCCTTGCCAAGAACCATCGTGTGTGCTTTTCCATCAGCATCGTTGTACTTCTGCATCTGTTCCAGCATCGCAGTCCATGCAGCATTCGACATTTTCCCAGTGCGACCAGAAGTAGGGCTGTGGCATGAAGGGTTCTGAGGTATTGGCGAAGGTAGAGGAACCAGATATCGCGATTTTCCGTTTTTGTTTCCAAAATCTGTATGTCGCGCTCCATTTCCTCCGAATCGCTCGCTACAATTTGTTGAAAAAGGGACATTTGCACGGAGCCTATCAAGGATGGAACAGTACAACATGACATCACGAGTCTTAGAAACAATTTTATCAAGGAAGTTTCGTTGGCTTCATGAGAGGCGGTAATGCGGCTTGGAGTCTTCATGAGATTTCGTTTCGTTTTTCGGTACTCGTCGGCCAAATTCGTGGGAGTCATCTCTAAATCGTGGTATGAAAAGTGAATCTCGCAGGGGTTCATTCTAAATTTGCACATTTTGCCTTCGCAACCGACAGGTTTTGCAACACGCTCGTAGAAAAAACCGCAGAATTTTGCACGGAATTTTCCAAAAAACCCACTTCGTGAGATGCCACGCAATTTTGAGTAGTGCGCACATGACATAAGGCAGAAATGTGTACGAAAGGGCTGCTGCTATCGCTACGGCTAATACCAGAGCAATAGTAGTTTTGTACCATTGCATGAAAAAGGATGCTAGGTGGCTGAAATCAGGCCATTCGAATGAAGTGTGTGATGCGCTTTCGCCGGTCAAGTACGTCGCTATCACTGCTTTGAATGGGGACGCAAATTTAAGCAGTCCAGATATTACGAACTGCGTGGCGTTTATGCCGCATCGCGCTGTGCAAGTGATATAGTTGCGGGCTTTGCTGCGCTGAAAGCGGAGCACCGTCGCAGGGCTGTTTGGTGCGCACGTTGCCACGAAACTATCCTCTTCGCATTTGATTTCTGCCAGGGTTGTTACACTCGATTTGCAGTGGATGATCGCAGTCGCACCTTTTGCGCACTTATAGCACCCCTGGAGTTCAGCGTCGTCGATGTCGCAGTTGTAATTGCGTGTTTCTTCTACCGCGTAAGATATTTGGCCATCGAATTTGACAACAAATTCAGCCGAGCTAACTTCGCGAACTTTTGCCACTACTTGGGAAGAATTGATCGCAAAGAATTGTAGCCCTGGGCGCTGTATTGGTAGCTTACTCTCAATCCTTCCGAATACCTGCGCAGGTGTTGAAACGTCGCATTCGCATCTGACCTTGGTTTCAGCTGGCTCGCAAATGCAGTTGTCGCGCAGTTCGCAGGTCATATTGAGTGCGTTCGCATAGCTGTCGCAAAGTAGCGAGGGTGGTTTGCTGTGCCAAACCGCCACGTCTGTGCTATTCGCAATGAACTTCAAGCTCAGAAATGGCGTAGGCGGCAGTGCGAGCGAGGTCATGGTGATTTCAAAATCACCCATTTGCACGGGAACGTTGGGAGTAACCGCAACAACTTGGGTCTTGTGATTTGGATACGTTATAGTGCCTTCC